TTTATATATTATACTGTAGCTTATTATTATAGTATTAAATACTACAAATGCAATATATAGTTATTATTAATTTTTTTTAACTTACATTTTTAAGACTATTTTCTAATCTAATAATTAAATTACAACAATCCCATGCAGTAAACCATCTTGTTTTTATTGAAGTTTTTAATCCTCTACCTTTTATAAAAGAATTAATAATATCTTCTTGAAGAGCAGCACCAGCATGATAAGATGTTTTACAAAATGTTATTAAAGTTTGATATTTTTTAAAAAAAGTTTTAGAAAAATCTAATTTAATAATATGAGAAGTTATAAGATTAATATAATGAGCTATACATCTTATAGATAAAATATAAGGATATTTGGTAGAAATTATTTGTTTTGCTAATTACATAGCTGATTCAGTATCTGAAACAATAGCTACAAATTTTTTAGAACCAATTGAAATTAAAACTTTCTCAATTTCAGAAGCATTAAAAGAACCTGTATGAAATTTGCTTGAGAGCATAAATATATTTCTTTCTATTAGATGTAATAATTACAAAAGTATAAATAGATTTTCCAGAAGGACTAGACCATCCATCTACAGCTAATAAAATAAAAATTATAACTTATCTTCTTGTTTATTTTTTACATCCTAAATATCAAAGTAAGTTTAATTTTTATTTATTTAAATTGATATTTTATTAATTTAATTTAATATTATTTTAGATAAAGGATATAAAGATAAAGTATTTTGAGAAATTTGTTTATATGCTATGAAAATTTGAAGTAGTTCTAATAATAAAGAAGATAGTATAAAAATTTTATTAACACAACTTAGGAAATATTCAGAAAATTGTGCACCTTATGATATGGTATATATTAAAAATTATGATATATCTGAGCTTTGGTGATCAACTTGTAAACAACCAGATAATTATATACAACAATTAGCATTAAAAATATTTGCTATTTTCCTCATCAAGTAGCATGTAAAAGAGTTCTTTCAACTTTAGATTGGATGATTGGGAAAAAAAGAACTAAGTAAAATTATAATTTTTAAATTATAATTTTAATTTTTTAATATTTGCTATAATAATAATTTTAATAATTTTATATTATTTTTTTTTAGATTAAATATTAATCATCTTCAATCAATAGCACAAATTCATTCATTTTATATAACAAATATGAAATCTGAATTAAAATTTTCTAAAGAAAATTTTAATGAAGAAGAACTAAAAACCACAATTAATGAAATATCAGAAGCTTTAATTGATAATAGTAATCTTTTTGATAAAGAAGAAAATGAAAATATAGATAAAGATGAAGATGAAAATGATAGTTTTGATTTAGATAATAATGAAAGTGAAACAAATCTTAATGATTTGCTTATAGCAGAATTTATGGATTTAAATTTTTATGATAATAATGAAGTTGAAAATAACCTACTTTTAAATAATCAACAATAATTAGAAACTGAAAAATATTCTGATTTTAATTTAAATTTAAAAACACTTTTTGATGAATAATTTCAAAATTAAATAATATATATTTTAATTTATTATTTTTAACAAATAATTATAATTTTTTTTCTTTATAGGTTTTTTTATAATTATTTAATATTTTTTATAATTTTTTTTTCCTGTTGCAGGTTTTTAATATTATGAAATATTGTTCAAAATATTATAGTTTAAATATTTTATAAGATATATTTATTTTATATTGATTTATTATTTTTATATATTTATATTTATTTTCATTAAATTATTCATTATTTTTTTTTATTTTTAAATTATATAGTAATTAATATTATGAAATTATAGAATTATAGCATTGCAGTATTATGGCATTATGGCATTGTGGTATTATGGCATTACAACACATAATATTTATGGCAATTGGGCTCTATGTCATAATTAATGCCATAATGCCGTAATTCAATAATTCTACTGTCAACACTATGTGTGATCATACTGGTTCTGTGCAGTGTCATATGCTGTGTAGCTATCTTATTGTATATTATCATAATATAATGGTATTACAATATCATATTGTTACAATACAAAGATCTATAGTATTATGATATTACAGCATTATGGCATTACAGCATTATAGCATTATGGCATTATAGCATTATGGCATTGCAGCATTATGCTATTGTGGCATTATGGCATATAATAATTATGGCAATTAGACTCCATGTCATAATTAATTCTACCAGGTTGTAAAATGCTGTAATACTGTAATTCAATAATTTTACTGCCAACACTAGTCATGTATAGACTTTAAAGTTTTATCTTGAATTGTAATTTATACAAATGCTAGTCAGATTTCTCCTCAATACTTGTTTTAATACTGTATGTTTTATATCATTCAATCATTGTTTTCCTAAAAGTGATAAAAATGTTTCAACAAACACATCCATATCTTTGAAACTGCTTAAGAACTCAACTTATAGAAGATATACTAACACCTAAGTATTTTCAAAATAATAGACCTTCTAAATTTTTTTTTTCCAGTGAAGCTGCTTTGAAATTATCATTTATCTGTATTTTAGAGATACAGTATTCGCATAAAAATATTTATATTAGTCACTTGATCTTAAATTACAAAAGCTACTGATTTTATTGAATCTATATTGCCAAAATCACAAACTTAATTGGATCAGCCCAAATATCATATAGTTAATTTTTATCTGGTGTTCCAGAAATTATGAAAATAGCAGTAAAAAAAAATGTATCTAAAATAACTGGGTGGGTTTTAAAAAATTTTTATATAAATTTTATATAAGAAATTTTTTTTAAAAAAAAGCTGGCCAGCTGGCAGGG